TTTACTAGTTCGGACTTAACGGAGGTTTAAGGGGTAGTTTCGGAACTTCTAATACTTTCATGATTTTTTTGGATTATAGTTAGAAGTCAAAATAATCTATCTTTACGATAAGAGCTTAAAGTAAGACTCTAACGATATTTTTTCAATTTTTTTTATTATCTTTCGACGCTAAAGGAGGCCTAAAAGATAGTTCCTCAGCTTCCAAAGCTTCTCTAATTTTTCGTCGTATTTCTAACAGTAGCTGCTTAAAAAGAACATAAATCGGTGGATTGACATAAGGCAAAGAATAAGATATTATAATATTTTTTTTATTTCGTTGGCGGAGCAACGTTTAGAACTTTTGATACATATCTTTTCTCTGTGTAAGAATCTAACAAATTGCTCAAATAATTTTTTTTATAACTTTTTTTTTCAAAATAGTACTGGAATAAACATATATCTGATCATTTTTTTAATTATTATAAAACTGTTGTTATTATAATGATTATTTAATATAAAAATTCCATGGAATTTGTGTGCACATATAAAAACTAAAAAAGAAATTATTCGCAAATTTAAAAAAAAATTTTTTACATAATGATTGATTCATTTTATAAACACCTGAAAAATTATCGGATACCTGGTGGTTTTAACTATTATGAAAATTAATAGAATTCAAAGAATTTTTTTACGAACTAATTACTGAGACGAAAATTAAAGATAAAAATTCAACATGTCGAAATTTTTAATTCTATGGACGCAAATTTTTTTAAATGTTTTTTCAGTATTAATTTATTCGCTAAAACAAACCCAAAACGATGAGATATCTGCTGATTTCAGTATCATTTGTTTTAATTAATGATATAGCTTATTTATCTAAGCTAAATGAATTAGACACTGAGTTACGGCAATAGGTATTCATGATAAATAGAAAAAATTAAGGAAAATGATCAAAAAAACAAATCGGAAAGACATGGTAGGAAATTCTAAAGTAATCGATTAATATCCTTTGACAAGTATTTAGATCGGTTGTTATAGTCGACAACCATACATCCTGAAAATGGAAATAAGTGCCTGATTTGTCTTTAAATAATATCAGAATAATCAGAATCAAAAGTCCAATCACCTTGAGAACTTGTAAATAATTGCAGTACTCGTATATTTTATGTTTTTTTTTTTTTATTTTGATACTACACGGACAAACCAACTTCGAAATTTACAGAACTTTATATCTTATTTTTACATGGTGAATTATAAAAATCTTACATATTGAGTATGTAATTATCATAGACTTTGTAATGCGATAAAAACACAAGTTTAATATATAATCCTTACTAAAAATTTCAACTAATGGATAGAAATGATAGAATTTTTTACAAAAAAAAAAAATTTATCTCAAATAGCGTAAAATGACATTAAGATACATTTTTTTTATCTTTTAAGAGCTTGTAAAAGAAAAAAATTTTTTTTAAAAAAATTATTGAGGCAACACACTTTGTTCCCATCCCCCTGGCCTAATATTGGACAAAGAAAAAATAACATTTAAATACTCAATAATTTTTGTAAACTGTAAAAAAATTAAATGGATAATTTTGTAAAATTGATCGTGCTTTCAAAAATTAAATTTAAAATTCTCAATTATCACCTCACAAAATATTAAAAATTTATAACAATTTTATTATTACCATTATGTAAAAGACTTGAGGTTCCCAAATTTTCTTCACTGTTTATTTCACTAGCACTATCAATGTTTTTTTTTTTTCAATAATTGCACAAATTAAATCTTTATTTGTATGTAAATGAAACCAGCATTTATTTAAATATTTTAAAATTGTTTTGTCAGTCGATGAAATCGGTAAAATTATTTTACAAATATCAAATATTTTTGACGATTTTAATTTTTTTGACTCTTTTAAGAGTTCATTAATTAAAAGTCGAGGATTTTTAGTATTATACAAAGAAATTATTGCATTAGCAATTATTTCGTTACTAAAAATAATTTTATGCCACATATTCGTTGTGTATAAGTTGACAGATACTTTTTAATAAATGATGAACAAACAAAATGGATAATAAAAAAATTGACAATAGAAAACCATAAACCGAATAAACAAATGAGCACGGAAGTGAAGTCTCTTCGCGACCACTTTTAAATGCTTTAGAATACATTTCAATTTTTATTGAGAGAAAAATAGCTTTCTTCAAAATTTATTCATTTTTTTTTAATATTAAAAAGTAGTAGCAGGAACTTTAATTAATAATCGAGTTATAGCTTCGATTTAAAGCTTAATTAGTTAATTAGTTACTAAATAATGAAACATTCTCGATGTGCTCGCTCTATCTTCAATAGTGTGTAAGCTATATTGATAACAAAAATTAGAAATCAATTGCGAATGAAAATTAAAACAAGAAGAAAAAATTTAATACCAGAAAAAAACACGGTTTTTACCGAGTTATTTTTTAACAATAAAAATAAAGTAGCAAAAAATAAACTTGGTGATTAAATAAACAAATGAAAATTTAGTTTATAGAAATTTTTTTTACAATATAAATTATAATTTTATTGAAGGATTTATTTATATTAGAAGAATAAGAAGGATTTATTTGTATTAGAAAATATTTGTTAATAGTTAACAAATCATTTATTAGAGACCGCTTTTTAGTATTAAATAAATATTTGTTAGTATTTAAAATAATTTGTTTATATTTAACAAATTTGATATTCATTTATTAAATATTAATAAATTTTTTTGAATACTAAGAAATATTTGTTAAAGACTAAAAAGTGGTCTTTTATAAATGATTTGTTAAATATTAACAAATATTTTTAACTATAGACAAATCCTTCTATCAGTGTGCATAAAAACATTGTTACTTAACAAATGCGTTTTAATGCAATAAAATAATTTTTTTCCGAAACAAAGTTCTTTCTAGATCATGAATTTTATAAATAATTAGATTCCAATAGAAATTTCAAGTATTCTTATGAACAATATTTTTGTTAATAACCATTATTTAAATCATGGTAGTAAAAAATTGAAAAATCTCAATGTTTGTATCTTTTTTACAGGAATCATTACGTAACCGTTTAAAAATGAGCTTATAAATGAAAAAAGTTTGTTCGTTTAACCTCTAAGCGCGATTGAAGTAAAACTTCTTTGACATTTATGAGACATATTACAGCAGAGATTGAACGTTACTTAAGAAGAATGTGTGCTTATTGATTAATTATGAGTGAATGAATTAATTTATTTGTTGGTAATTAATGAATTAATAATTTGTAATCTGTATTACTAAATAATTGAATAATCAACATTTAAGTATTTGCTAATAAATTGATTTCCCATAAGTAATTAGTTTTGTTGCTAATCAATTATCAATATATTATTTATTATAGATATCATTTGGAAGTAGAGAAATTTTCCGGAGCGATAATTATTCAAGAGAGCCGGTTGGTTGTACTGGACTCTGTAGAATCCTAACCGTTGCAAAAAAATTTTTAATATCTTCTCGACAGTCCACCTTATAATGTCAGACCCTGACATGACCCAAAAAATGGATCTCAAAACTTTCAGGAGCGATCATTTTTTTAAAGAGCAAGACGATCTTACTGGGCCAGCTGTAATATCCTAACCCTTGCAAAAAAATATTCAATATCTACCCGAAAGTCCACCTAATAATGTCAGACCCTGACATGGCCCAAAAAATGAGTCTAAATATTAATCGGAGCAATAGTTGTTCCAGAGAGCCAGTCTATTGTATTGGGCCCGCTGTAATATTCTAACCCTTGCGAAGAAATTTTTAACATCTTTTCGAGAGTCTTCGTAATAATTCCAGACCCTTACATGGCCCAAAAAATGGATCTAAAACCTTTCCGGAGCGATAATTGTTTTAAAGGGCCAGTCTACCATACTGGGCCCACTTTAATACTTTAACCCTTGCAAAAAAATTTTGTATTAGTAGATAAGCAAAGCCGGTTTGATCCATTGATAAAGTAGATTTCTGCACTATCGACATTTGGGTTCTGCCTTATCGACAGTCATTAGTGGAGTTTGTGCGATATCAATGGTTGGTTTTTTGTGTTCTATTTTACCGACTGTTGTTGGGGATTATCATCGATTTGTTGGACGATTTTTTACCGACTGTTGGAGGGATTATCATCGATTTGTTGATTGATTTCGTTGAGGTCAAAATGCTACCACCCCAACAGCAGAGCTGATACCTTTGCCGTGTATCAGCTTTGGTGTTGATGTCATATGCACTTATTTGATGTGATGAAGAATTTTATATATATTCAAATGACTTGTGGTATAAGTATATGCGAGAAAGATCGATACTTACGCCGCTCTGGTGGGATTAAATGGAGGTATTGAAGTTTATTGATCGATTTGAGGTAAGTTTGATGTCAATTGGTGGTCTATGTTTTCGACAATCGGTTTGATACCGAATATATGTTCTGTTTTATCGACGTGGGGTAAGAGTTTTTTCTGAATTTTAACGTTTTTTAGCCTCTTTCTCTCGATTACATCATGTTTTTTACGTCATCCGACAAGTTTGAACCTGTTTTTTCGCGTCAACATCGTGAATTTTAACGGTTTTTTAACCCCACATCTCTCGATTACGTCATGTTTTTACGTCATCCGATAAGTTTAAACCTGTTTTTGGCGTTGTCATCGTCGTTGGGAGGGGATCGTTGGTGGGGAGTTATACTTACTTGCCTCCAAATTTCAGTTTTCTGCCTGCAGTTACTTCAATCAGTCGTTCGGTTTAAAAAAAATTTGTGTCTTTTTTTAAAAATATTTAAAATTGTGTACTCTACGGAAAATCAAGTAAGTCATTTATTTCATTATTCTATTTTATAACTAATTTCTACTATTATCATTATTAATTATTTTCTATCTATTTCTTAGCTTAATAATTCAAAAATGGATTTGAGTGCTATCAATAAAATCAACAACTTACCGAACTTTTTACCAACTAAAAAGTTTGAAGAACTGCAACTAAACAAGATGTATCAAATCATGGAAATTAAGAAAGTCAACACAAAATATGGACCAAAAATTTTGGGAATTCTGGAAAACGAGTTTTCAATCTTCTTCCCGAATCGAACCAATCGGATGCTTATTGATAATGAAGAGCAGTTGACTTCACTGATCGATTTGGCCTCAGCAGGAGAACTTCACTTGAATTATTTAGGAACAGCTTATCACAAGTTTGAATTTCTTATCAAACCTTCATAATCAAGAATAAATGATAAATTACTTCAATTAAATTTATGTTAAAAAATAAATTAAATCTATGTTACAATTCCAAATTTAAGAGGAGTTTTCATGAGAAATGATTTTTGTGATTTTGATATTTCTATGGAAAGCATTGAAAACTTCTATTGAAAACTTTTTATTAATAAGCTATAAATATTCCGAAGACGAACTGGATAGTCCACCAATTGAGGCTGCACTTATAATTCTTTAATTGGTCAATTATAAAGAAAATGAAATATGGAATACTTAATTGATTTTTTTTACCAGTTATATTATGCCAAACGGTTCATTTGCAGTCAAGGAATTTCGTGTCACCAAGATTACTAATGAATATCAATTCAATGGTGTTTATGAGTGTGACTATCATTTATTTAAGCCTCCAATGATAATTACTAGTGCATCTATTAAGAAAAATCTGGACTATAATGCACGCCGTCATGTAATTAGCTAGGATGTCGGTAAAACTGCGTATAATGTATTTGGGGAAATTTTTAATAATTTAACGTGTTATTTGAGCTATTTATGTGTTGAAGGTGAAAAAAAACAAAAAATGGCTTGAAAAATTAATTGATGATCCATCTGATGGCTGCTATCCGCCATTTTGAATTGTGAATCTGCTATCTGGAAGCTGTTATGACACGATCTTCTAAGAATCTTACACAATTTCCCCCTCTACACTGTGCTTTCATGGTAAGGATTGATCCTCAATCTGCTCGGTGAGATATCATCATTAGGTTTCTGTTCTTGAACTTGAGCACTTAAAGTCGAGAAGATGGAGATTTTTATTGATTTTGAAGGCTTCTACACGCTTGATGGATCTTTTATTGTCAAAGAGCTTGCTGTTATCTCGCTAAGTGATGAAGTGGATTTTTTTAGTTCTGCTGCGCTAGCAACTTTTAAACCACCAGCAGAGTACACCAATGAATTCATGGTCGTGGAGACCAAAGATTTTTGGTTGAGAAAGCAGGGTATTAAATGGGAAGAAAGATCATTCTCATATA